CGGCAGAGGGCGCTGCTGCAGCGGCGGCCGGCTCCTACTGCACACGCGTGGGCCTGCGCTTGCGGACATTGCTGGGTGTTTTTGTTAAGCTCCTGGGTTTTGTTCTGTTTAACGGGACAGGCGGGGAAAATCCCGCCTCTCCGCCCAGGCCTGGGCGGGAGGGTGAGGCAGACCTGGGGCCTGCTGCGGGGACTTCTCTGGCTGCCCCCGGCCTCTCGCAGCAGCGGAGTGAAAGGGAAAGGCCTTGCGGGTCCTCCCACCTGGCAGCTGTCTCCAAAGTGATAAAATGAATAGGTAGTTTCGTCTTTTTTTTTTTTTCCCCCCCCTAAGGACAATGGCAAGGCACTTTGCTACTAAATGTCTCGCTATTCAGTAATTACTGAGTTTGCCACCATCCACTCGCCTCTGGACCTCGTTGTGATGGCCGCTGTCTTCTGTGGAAGCCTTTGGTGGGACAGAGATGGTGAAAAGGTTTTGTACTGGCCCACACAGCACCCTCTTTACTCCCCCCCTCAGTTTTTCAGATTGCTGCTAATAGCATGTGAGAATAAAGGATGGCCTTTGTGCCGTTTGGGGTTGCTGTAAGCTGTCACAAGTGTGTTTTATAGAGGCTGATTTTAATTTTGCCACCCAGGAGAGTAATAGTCCCAAGGAAATGAAGCATCTTTCTGCTATTGTTATATATCCGAAGGAAAAATCCTGGCACATAATTGGCTAAAAAATAGTAGTGTGATGAGTCAATAAATTTCTATTGTGTAGCTTTCTCTGGGTGAACAATACTATGTTCTGGGGTAGTGTTAAACAATTAGTTCACATATCATACAAATAAGCACATCCTAGATGGATACATCTGGGGGTAGTAGAAATTATTCATCTCTGGCCAATCAGACAGCAGTTTTTATTTATTTCAGTGTTTAACAGAATACCTCTCTGGGCTCCGGGAGACCTTGCAAGCAATTGAAAATACAATAACTTTAGAAGGAAAGCCAGCAGTTTTTCCTCACTCTCAATCCAGAATAATAATATATGACAAAATATCCTGTTCCCACAATGATTAGCCTTTCTGTCCCCATGTGTGTAAATAGATAGCTGTACAGGATCGACGGACCTCTTCGCAGAGCATGTCCTGCCATGGGGCTCCCTGCCCTTTTTCTCTAGTGGAAGAGTTTTCTGCATTAATGTTTCTACCAGTACAAGGCAGAAAGAAATGAGTCTGGCCACAGGTCCATCAGAAATGAGTAATAAAGCCAGAACCTTAATCTGTGTAACTGCAACTGGCTGTATTGAGGAAAGTAAGATGAGACAGGTTAAAAATCAGCCATAGTGTTTCTTCTGAATTTCAAGCATCAGGTCCCTTCATAGTGCTATTTAAAGGTAAAATACTGTATTTTCAACAATATGCAGTGAAAACATTCACAAGGAATGTACCTTCATCTTTGAATGGTATGCACCATTTCACTTTAGTTGTTTGGAGTTGTTCTGTGTAAATTCCTGCAGTTATTTTTATTGTTTTGTGTTACAATAGTGCCTAGAAATCTGAACCATTTTGCTAGATGCTGTTCAAACACATGCTAAAGGACAATCCCTTCCCAGAAGGTTTGCAGGCTAGTTCCTTACCCTGAGAATAGAATTTAATTCCTGGATTTCATTTCTTGGTACATTTGAGTTCTTGCATCTCAAGAAACTTAATTTTTATCTGTTCTTGTTTAATCCCAATTACTGCCTAATTAGAAGTCAATGTTTTTTGAAGGGGGACTACCAAGAGAGTTTTCAAGAAACTTGAAACATGCAGGATTCTGTGAACTAAGTCTCTACAGATGGTGCATGCCTACAGGCCGGACCAGATCTCTCTAAGGCATTAAGGAAAAGTTTAATATTTTTCATTTTGAGCAAGATTAGTCCCCAGCTGTGCCTGAGACCATCTATTCTTCACAGCTGGTCATTCTTATTAATCCCCAGGAAATGTCCTATGTTCTAATTTGTTGATTTTTAAATACAAACAGCAAAATCCATTTAAACATGATAGTGTAAAAATTGAAATTGTACTTTGTGATGGATTGCATTTGTGAAGAAGTAACTTCTGTGGGGATAAAAAAGTAATACCCTAGGTTCACCTCTGGTGTTTATTTTGAAGTGTCACTGTAAATGTAATGGGAGAACATAAGCTTCCCAGACACCCTTCTTAATGAACCCAAATGCATTTTTAGTCTGGCTGTTGTTTTTTGTCTTTATGAGGAAGAGAGGTGTCAGCACAGAAAAACAGTGAGCCATTATTACAGCTGGGATTAACAGGCCAGAAGCTATGAATGCCATAAACCAGGAAACTACTGCTTTATTTTTACTGACGTTCTATATGTTTGAAGTGGATTGTTCTAGCTGTGTTTCCTGAAAAAGGTGAAGTTCCTTAAAACTGCCAACCCTGATGGTGAATTGTCAGCAGATTACTACAGTGAGAGCTCATCATGGGTCTTGTATGCTTTCTAGCCAGATAAGTTGGGCAAAGACCAGTTCTAGTCTCTCTGTTCCTCAGGTGCATATTCTCCAATTGTAGGGACTGTGCCTGGCCATTTTAGTTGTGATGAAGGTCCTCTTAGTTTGCGTGCTTGAGGCCTTCGAGCAGGTACTAAACTTCTCTTAGTTCCCTCCCAGCCTGTGTTTGGCTTTTTCCAGACTTCTAATTACTTGAGTACTCTAATTTATCATTCTGCTGGTCAAGAACAAATCACAGTTAAAATAGAAAGTGTGTGCTTTGCATGCAAAAGAACTTGCTAAAAGCACAGATTTTTCTCATAAGCCACGTAAGACAGTTACAGACACAACAGAGTGAGCAGCAGGGGAATATAAACTCCCAGCCCTCACCTTACTGCTCCAGAAGCTTCTGAGGGCTTTGGTCACTATGTTTGAGAAAAATATACAGAGGTGTTCTTGTTCCTGCTTCTCCCACTGCAGCATTTCTTTCAAGCCCCAGGCCAGCTCTCTTCCTTAGGTCGCATCTGAGTTTAAAGGAGCTGTTATGAATGCTCTTATTTTTCTGGCTTTTTGCTGGGGAGTTTTTACTTTATCAGCTCTTCCTTAAGGATAGCTAGGCAGAGAGTTGGGTTCTAGCAGTGTTAAATACTTTTCTTGCACTGTGGCAGAGCTGTTCTGCTGGCACGTGCCAACAATGGCTCGGTTTTACTTTGTCAGTGTTAGCTGTCAAGGGGATGCTTTAACACACAGTTATTCTTGTAACTGTAAATGGTATTTCTCCAAGAACAAAAAAATGAAAGAATTATTCTCTAAACAGTGTGAGACTATTTTCTCCTTTCTTTTTTCTTTTTTTTCCAAAGCAAGATTGAAATTTGGACTTAAAGAAACCTCTATCCTGATCTCCCTATCACTAAAGATACTAAAATGGTTGAGCAATAGGAAATAGACCTAAATGAGTTTGACACTTCTACTGTCTCCTTGCCCTTCCCAAAACATCATAGAATGGTTTGGGTTGGAAGGGGCCTTAAATATCATCTTATTCCAACCCCCCAGCTATGGGCAGGGACACCTTCGACTAGCCCAGGTTGCTCAAAGCCCCGTCCAACCTGGCCTTGAACCCTGCCAGGGAGGGGGCAGCCACAACTTCTCTGGGCAACCTATTCCAGTGTCTCACCACCCTCACAGTAAAGAATATCTTCCTTATAGCTATTCTAAATCTACCCTCTTTTCTATTTAAAACCATTACCCCTTGTCCAGTCACTACACCCCCTGATAAAGAGTCCCTCCCCACTTTTCCTGTAGCCTGTCCTCACAGGGGAGGTGCTCCAGCCCTCTGATCATCTTTGTGGCTTCCTCTGGATCCACTTGAGCAGGTCCACATCCTTCGTAAGGGTTGGGGACCCAGAGCTAAACACAGCACTCCAGGTGGTGTCTCACAAGAGCAGAGTAGGGGGGGAGAATCCCCTCCCTCAACCTGCTGGCCACACTTGATGCAGCCCAGGATAGTGTTGGCTTTCTGGGCTGTGAGCACACATTGCTGGTTCACAGTCAGTTTTTCATCCACCAATACTCCCAGGTCCTTCTCCACAGGGCTGTTCTCAATCCACTCATTGCCCAGCCTGTATTTGTGCCTGGAATTGCCTTGACCCATGCGCAAGACCTCGCCCTTGGCTTTGTTAAACTTCATGAGGTTTGCACAGACCCACCTCTTGAGGCTGTCAGGGACCTTCTGGATGGCATCCTTTCCCTCCAATGTGTCAACCATACCACATAGCTTGGTGTCATCAATGAACTTGGTGGGTGAGGGTACACTGTCCATGTTACTAACAAAGATGTTAAACAGTGCTGGTCCTAATATCCTAATACCAACCCCTGAGAAACGCCACTCGTCACTGCTTTCCACTTGGACATCGAGCTGTTGACCACAACTCTTTGAGTGCAACCACCGAGCCAATTCCTTATCCACTGAGTGGTCCATCTATCAAATCCATGTCTCTCCAATTTAGAGACAAGGATGTCACGTGGGACAGTATCAGATGCTTTGCATAAACCCAGGTAGATGACATCAGTTACTCTTCCTTTATTGACCAATGCTGTAACCTCATCATAGAAGACCACCAAAATTGTCGGGCACGATTTGCCCTTAGTGAAGCCATGTTGGCTGTCACCTATCACATCCTTAATTTCCATGTGCCCTGAGTTTCCAGGAGGATCCGCTCCATGATCTTGCCACAGACATGAGACTGACTGTCCTGTAGTTCCTTGGGTCTTTTTTTTCCCCCCCTTTTTAAAAATGGGGGTTATATTTTCCCTTTTTCAGTCAGTGGGAACTTCACTGGACTGCCATGACTTCTCAAATACAATGGATAGTGGCTTAGTCACTTCATCTGCAAGTTCTCTTGGGACCCACGGATGCATCTCTTCAGGTCCCATGGACTTGTGCAGCTTCAGGTTCCTTAGATGGTCTTGAACTGGATCTTCTTCTACAGTGGATAGTTCTTCATTTTCCGAGTCCCTGCCTTTGCCTTCTGTGTCTTAAATTATGTGGCTGGAGCACTTGCCAGTGAAGACTGAGGCAAAAAACCCCAACGTTGAGTACCTCAGCCTTCTCCATATCCCAAGTAACCAAGTCTCCTGTTTCCTTCCAGAGAGGGCCTACATTTTCCCCAGGCTTCCTTTCATTACTGATGTACCTATAGAAGCTTTTCTTGTTGCCCTTGTCATCTCTGGTAAGATTTAATTCTATCAAGACTGCGACCTTCCAAACCTAATCCCTGGCTACTTGGACAGTTTCTCTGTATTCCACCCAGGATATCTGTCTTTGCTTCCACCCTCTGTAGGCTTCCTTTTTATGACTGAGATTGGCCAGGAGCTCCTTGTTCACCTGTTCAGGCCTCCTGGCATTCTTACCTGACTTCCTCTTTGTCACAGTGCATCACTCTTGAGCTTGGAGACAGTGATCCTTGAATATTAACCAGCTTTCTTGGGCTCCTCTTCCCTCCAGGGCTTTATCTCACTTTACTCTGTCAAGCAGATTCCTGAGGAGGCCAGAGTCTGCTCTCCTGAAGTCCAGGTTAGTGAGCTTGATGCGCTCTCTCCTTGCTGCCCTAAGGATCTTGAACTCCACCATTTCATGGTCACTGCAGCCAAGGTTACCCTTGAGCTTCACATTCCCCACCTGCCCCTCCTTGTTGGTGAAAACAAGGTCCAGCCTAGAGCCTCTCCTCGTGGAGGTTATCATCAACACATTTGAGGAACCTCCTGGATTGCATGTGCGCTGCTGTGTTGTCTTTCCAACAGATATTGGGGTGCTTGGAGTCCCCCACAAGGACCAGGGCTTGTGAACATGACCCTGCTCCTATCTGTCTATAGAGGGCCTCATCTGCTTGGTCTTCCTAGTCAGTAACAGACACCCACTAAAACATCTGTCCCTGCCCTTCCTTTAATCCTGACCCATAAACTCTCAGTCAGCTCCTCATCCATCCCCAGGCAGACCTCCATGCACTCCAACGTGATTAAACATGATTACATAAATGAGTAATGAAGTGTGATTTGCATCTATTTAAGGCAAAACATTTTTAATGCTCTACATTTTTCAACAACTGGATGAAAATGGTCATGTGAAAAGCTTAGGTTATGAAACATTCAACACTTTTCTTAGAAGTCCACTCATGTATTGAAATTAAAATTGAGGCTAGGTGCAACATTTTAAAATGCCATACTGATTTTGTTTGGTATTTGCTGTAAAATGTATCTTTGACTTGTTTTGAACTAGTAAGTCTTATTTTTGTTCTCTTCAAAGATGTAGAGCAGCACATTAATCAGAAAATTCAGTATCTGAGCCTCATCCATTGTAAAATTGTGTGGCTTTCTCCATTTTCTCCCACAAAGAGTCTAATGTGGTAATTATTTAAATTATAGATATTGGGGTACTATGTGACTTCTGAGAATGTTTCTTGTCCTTAGATGGAGTCATACCTAATATGAAATGACAGAAAACTCTAGTGACTTATTTCATTCCATGCTAGCCCATCTGTGAGGGCGGAACATAGGATGTGTCTCAGTTAGCAAATTACTTTGGGGCAGGGGTGTATTTCTGAGCCCTAGCTCCTGAATGTCCTCTCTTACTGTGTTTTCTTTTGTGTCTAAGTATACAAGTTAAGTTGCTTCCACATGCCACTGAACTGGAAGATGCACTCCAGTGGCTGTGCTCCAGCTACTGAGCAGTGTTCTGTCCATGGGACCACACCAGAACTAAAGGAAAGTAAACCCCCTTTTGACATGTGTGTAGCGCAGACATCAGATCTTCAGCACCAACAATTTTGGGCTGCTTTACTTGTTAGTGTAGCCATAGCCAGAGGCATGTGCATATGAAACCCAAAACAGGGAAAGAGAAAGTGCATGTTATTTAATGTGTCCATCTTATTAATACTGTATTTATTTACCTTGAAAGCTAAGCAGCGGAATAGTGGACAGGTGGTATGTAAAACCTATATCTGGAAAGTACAACCCCACACCCCACTTCAAAGAATATATCACAGAACTTTTGCAAATTGTCAAACAAGGATAACAAAACAGGGAGAGACATTATCAATTGCTAATTAGAAGTGTGTGCCCTGCCGTTGTCTAAGTGGGGAACATTTGTATCTATTGTTTATCATTAAAGCATTAAGAAAGCTTGCCACAGTTCCTGCAGTGTTAGTTCAAAGGCAGTTGTTTACATTTACAGAGTAAAATCTTAGCAATGACACCTTGCATTTGGTTCAGTAGGACCAGCACTTATAACTAATTGTCCTTATTATTATATTAACTTCTTTTTTTTTTTTTGCATGTATGCTCTTGTCCTCTGGTTTACATTAGAAACTATCCAGCCTCAGAGATGATTTTATCACTGCTGTAAATACAAAGAGAGTAAATTGAAGGCATAATATGCCTCCAAATTAACTGTTACCATTTGAATCTCTTTTCTGTAATTAAAAATAGAATGAAAGATATACATATGGACATATGCTTAATGTATATAGGTATATATGCATAAGCTTTGCACCCTAGAGTATTAAATGTTGATTATTAGCCTTTTAAATATAATGAATAATAATAATAATTAATATTTATGTGGTGGATTTTCAACACACTTTAAAAATGTGGGACTCACTTGGTGTTTCTGAACTGGGAAAGTCCAAATCCAATCTTCCTGTCATTTATCAGAGAAAACAGCTATTTCAGGGAAGAAACAGTTCAAACACCCAACCTAATATTACAGTTTTAAGTTTGGAGATGGCCAGGCTTTTGCAAGGTAGTCTTCATCAGTGAAGTTTGTTTTGATAAATTTAGTGTATCAAATGAAAAATCAAATGAAATCCTAATCTTTCATTACTTTCTTTTATACTGTAAAAGAATGTAGCCAACTGTATAATAGTTTGTTACCTCGTAACTGCAGATAGGAGCACCCTGCTGGTTGCAACCTGCTGGGATCTTTGCTTTTCTATGATTTTTGTTTGAACTGAAGTCATATATGTAAGAGTATAGTGACTAGCAAGGAATGCGCTTGTGATGTAAGTCATCCTACTTCTCAAAGACACAGAAAAATTATGAGTGTATCAGCCTTTTGATTTATCATCCCATGAGTGACAGAGAAGACAGCCTGAAGCTTCAGCAAGAACAGCTCCCCTCCCCTCCCAGCCCTGGAATTGTTTTGTTCCTTCACTCCAAGAAAAATATGCTGGGCCAAATTTCTGTAGACAACATCTTCATTTACCTCTGTAGAGTTACAGCTTCTATAAATTTAGCTATCTTTCTACTCTCACAGTTTCATGCTGTAGTGTGATTTGCAGTTATCTTTTTTTTTTTCTTGCAAAGCTCGTTAACTCCAAAATCTTGAATAGCACAGATATTTCTGTTATTCAGAATGACATCACATTCTCTGCAAAAAATTCCATGTTTCTGATGTTGCCAGCTGCTTCTGAAAAGATAAGTCACAAGATTGTTTATGTTTTGTTTTGTGGGAAACTCTTTCTTAAGTTTTGGAGTGCCTAAGCTGATGGCATCCTTCCATAGTCCGGCATCAACAAATGCAAAATTGCTCTCCTCATGCTTTAAACTAGCCAGTCATCATGACCTTTTGGCTCAGGCAGAGCTGTTGTCTGTCTGCCTGTGGGACAGTTGCTGGCATCCTTAGAGTGAGGTAGAGAAAGCCTTGAACCGTTTGCAGTGTCTGAATGAGAGGCCTGAGATACCTTACAGAGGTATAGTGCAAAGGAGTACTGACCACCTATTTAGAAAAAAAAATCAAAACCCTTCTCAAATACCTTAACTTGAGGATTCTGAAACAAAAACACTGGATATGGCAAGTAGTTTCTGAAAACTTCACCCTGAGCTTAACTATTCACTTTTTTCTCAGTTTCCTGACTGTTCTCTATTCTATTTTATAGTACTTTTGACATGGTAACAATACTAATATGTACATAATTACAAAGCCATGCCACTTCTTATCCAAAGGGAAAAGAGGTGAAAGGAAGGAATTGAAAGCAATGGTATTGTAAATCCTACAAATTTATGAGAATTATTGTAACAAACTTTAAAAAAAGAAAAGATGGAAAAAAGAAAGGAACTTCTGTGTGATTTATAGCTTTATTTTCCTGGGACATCCATATGAGTTATATATAGCACACAAATGAACTAAAGTTAAATTATAACATTGAATTTTGCAGCCTGTCACAGTGATTCTGTCTTTTAAACTGTACAAGGAAAGTTCCTGCTTTCCTTTTGCAATTTGGAGATTTTTTTTTTTTTTGGTCTTGTCATACAGTTTGGCATTAAAGTAAATGCTGTTTTCTGATTTCCATCAGTGCAGTTTAATCAGCAGCTGAGTTTTCTTGCAGCCCCTAAAAATAAAAATGCCTCAGTCATCCAAAAATGAATTCAGTTTTCTCTGTCTGGCCTGGTTACATGGACAGAGGAGGTACACCCCCAGTGATGAAGAAATATGGGTGTGGATTAAGAGGGGATATATTTCTGGCATACACCATCAAAAATCTCTGGAAAGATATTAAACTTTTTATTCTGTGTATCCATCTTTAAAATGCAGGGCACATGGCAGTTACATGCCTGCAGACTCCCTTTGTATTTTGTGGTATATACAGAGCCTTGAGAAGCGCATACCATCCTCCCTTGTCCAGAACGCTCAAATTACACCATTTGCCTAACCTCCCTTTGGGTACCCCTTCATCTTGGCACCAGTCATTGCAAGGCTTGCTTTGGCTCTGTGCTTGTTCTCTTTTCAATGTCTTTGTGGAATGTAGTATCTCTTCAGGGCATAATCAGTCAGGGTGCAAGAAAAGAACACGGGACAGATTAACAGAAAAATCACTGCAATGCTGATAACTTGCTGATAGGCAAGAATCTCCACTGTCAGCATAGCAAGCATCTTATTTCATTTAATTGTTGTATTTGCTTTTTGGGAAGCAATGTCTTAATCACAGTAAGTACATGCTATACCTCTTTAGTCTTGTCACAGCACCGATGGTTGTAGCACCAAGACATTTGGCATCTTTTCTACCTTTCACGGAGCTGTTGTTTTTGCATGGATGCTCCACTGTGACAATCATTTCTTCCCACTGCTTCTGAGGATAGGTAGCAGAAATTTCTGGCAGCGAAACTACGTGTTAGACTGCAATTCATGTGTTCCATATGGTAAACAATGGACCCTTTGGGACTTAGGGAGCCTGTCCTGCAGGTTTGTTTAGGATACAGACTGGGAGTTAAAAGTTTTGCCAGTAGACCCCTGGCTCCACAGACATCCTGGAGAGGTTGAGTTTCATAGTTCTTCCAAATTTGTCATTGCTGTTGTTCTGCAGCTGAAAGAAAATTCCTCACTTCATACTACTCTTGCATGGGAATTTATTCTTTAAAATATCTTTCTGGAGCCCTGCACATATACACATTCATGAACTAAAAATTTGGGCCTGCCTCTGTGTCCTCAGACATTACCCGCTGTTTTTGGATAGGTGGCAGAAAAACAGCCATATGCCACTAAAATATGAATTCTATGGTGTTAAAGAGAGACCTGAACTCAAGAACAGAGGTGAGGGGTGCACTACATAGAACTGCCTTTGCCTCTCATTCACAAAATATGTCATCTTGGATGACCTCTGAGTTTGCTGGCCAAAATTTTAGACCTTCTTTCATACATTATATTGTTCTTCCCAGTTCAGACAACTGGGTTTAATTTTTAACAGATAATTATTCTACACTTATTTGTGCATTCCCTCTTCATCGTCTCAAAACTAAATGCATTTTGACAGTGACCACCATGAAATAAAAAATATTCTGTGGTTCACTGGATGCGGTACTGGAAAGTGAATCATTCCTTCCCTGCTTAAGTGCTACCATATACTGTTGATTTGGAATGTATAACTGTGTGTTTGGCCTGATCCTGTACATCTCTAGGAATCTTAAAAGTTCAAAACCCTGGCTAGAACATACATTTGAGCATTATTAGGTCTGGTCCACATTCAGTGGCTTTATACCCCTAGAACCTACTTCAGATACAGTCAGTTTTAAAACCTGCTTAACCACAATAGTTGAACCCTGTCATCTGGCTTTCACAGACACACATTTAATACTCTTGAACAGTAGTTCTTGGAGACTCTTTTCTGCCAGAATATTCCTTATTTCTTTCAAGCATTTATGAAAATTTTTCCTTATTTTTACCATTTTCCTTTTTTTAGGTTTCAACACTTGGTATTTTCTTCACCTCATACATACTGTAAGCTTGAATAAGAAGTTAGTTTTGTATCAGCATGTCTTTAGCATTTGTGGGTGAATAAAATCTTGGTTATCTTTTAATCTTTTTTCAATTTGGGATGCAGGTAGGCGTTTAGGTTTATACAGCTGGTGCTGACTCTCAGTGTTCATGAAGTGCATGAAGTCTTCCAAAAAGTGGTTTCATGACAGATTTGCATATGCATTTATTAATCTGCCACAGCACTGTGACTAACTAGTATGCTGATATATTTTTCTCTTCTTTCAAGGACATTTTTGAATTCTGCTTTGACCGTCTCAAGGATAAAGAACCAGCACGGCTTGTGTGTATGTGTTTTTACACGTTCAATGTAAAGGCCTTTTCCTATGCTCAGGGGAACACATCCTCATCTTTACAACATGCCCAAGAAAGGTTTAGAAGATAGTCCAAAGGCATAAATTAATTCTTAACCTATTGGCAGGCATACTAACTCATTAGGAGTCAACATACCATCTTTCCAGAAGAACCTCTGTCGTGGAGCAGAACATCCCTCTCATTATGGGGCGACACAACTTTGCATTTCTCATGGTTCAGGAAAACAAAATCTGTTTCATCTTCTCTTCTTGATGTTCTACATACAAAAATGACAAAGCTTCAACCTCAATTTACTCTTTAAAAGAAAAACCCAAAACCAGATTGATTTGGATGTTTGTATCCTTGTTTGTAACCTGGCTTTAGCTGGCCCTGTAAACTGGTAGTGCTTTGTGGCAGGCATTCAGTCTTTTAGGATTCTTTCTTTTGACTTTCCTTCATGCATCTATGTCTGGAAAGGCTACTCTCTTCCTTGGGGGAATATGAAGTACTCACCCTCTTCTCTCATTATACTTCACCATACAGGCAGTCGCTGAGCAATAGGGATCCCAACGAAGAGGAAGAATGCCATTTATCTGCAAAAGAAGTTCTTTGGATGGATTTACCATTCCCTGGAGAGACATGCTTTTTTCCATCTATCATCTATCCCTGTGCTGATGAGGTCATGGATTCTGACCTGTCTGCTTGCTTACATCTCTGTACTTGAGGGGATGTGCTAACTGCTGCCTGGGCAGCAAAACTTTATTTTTGCACAAAACTTTTAGGCCCATGGAAAAAGGCCCTCAGGAGGTGGCAAAGTGGCAAACCCACATTAGAAAAGAGGCTTGTCCCCTCATTGCTACCTTGGATTAAACCAGGACAAAAATGAGGATTGGAAAGAGGAACTCTTAGACTACGAGAGGGAAGAACTAAGGTTGTCTGTACAACTTTCTCCTCTGCCCTCCTTTATATCTAATAGTGCTTAGAGCTTGCTTCATTACCACTCACTTGTTCTACAGCAAGCTATTTAATAGAAGTAAAAAACCCCCTTACAAGTGCATTTAGCGTATTGCAGTATTAAGGCAATGTATGTTATTGAGCACATAGTGCTGTTAGAGAGAAATGGGCTGTTGCTGCAAGATTCTCAGAATATCCTATGACTTTTCCCTGCAGTCCTGAGACATAATTTATACCTTTGTAAGGGCCTTTGAATTTCCATGGTGATGTAAACAGGCATTAATGTAAGAACAGAGTGCTTTGTCTTCTCTTGCTTACATTTTATACAGTGGAAAGGGAACACTGTATTAGAACTGTTACTTCCTGTTTAAATATATCTGAGTCCAATTTTCAGCTAGTTTAAATTAGTGTAATGTCAGTGATATGTCAAGGAAATTACCCCAGTCTACTGGCCCTGTATTTCTGAATATTACTTATTTATAGGGCCCAAAGTCCCATTGAATTTTATAATTAAATTAATTTTTAAACAAAACTAAAACAGTTGAAAGAAGAATACATGATTAGCATGTGTTTAAGATATTTCTAGCTGTTAGGGTTTTTTTATTATATTTGAACAGGTCTATCAAACATTATAATCCATTATAAAATGCTGTAGTCTGACCTAAAATCAGTTTCACAAGTGAGGAAGCTGCTAGTAACCCATTCTGCAGAGAAGCAAATGACTGGAGAAAGCTCTTAGTAGGGTTCAGTTGCAAATGATGCAGTGACCACGCTAAGGCTTTGACAGGCGGGGATCTGAAAGCATGGGAGTATCAACCTGGTGTCGTTCAGGGTTGAAGTTGCTCCCATTGAGGCAGAGCTGCAGCTCTTATATGGTTTGGGTAATGTATTTGCAGGTTTTTAAAATTGGGAGAGTTTGACTTGCTATGAATTAAACTGTATGCTTTATTATAGACAATAGACATTGCCTCACTTTTCCTATTAATTTGTTTTGAAAATAATGCCTTTCTAGCTCTGTGCTGCAGACAGTGAATGGGTTAGAAAAAGATGATGATTGACTAAGATTTATATGTAAAGTTTTCTAATCCAAATGTGTTGCTGTAAATGTTCATACTTCCCCCCCTCCCCAATAGGGCAACATAAATTTCCAAATAAAAGCAGTGTCCTTTCAGCCTCCCCCAAAACAGCTCTTGGACAAACTCTGAGGGGAAAAAAATGTTAATGATGCTTAAAGCTGCTCTGACCCCAAAATGAAGCTTTATTGGGTTTGCTGCTGCACAGCCTCACTTTTCTGCGGTGTTTCATAGGAGGTAATTTCTGTGGTGGTTATGATTTGAAAGGGTTGGCGCGCAAACCGACCTCAATCAAATTGGAACAACATGTCACCAAAGGTCCTGGTCCCATGGTATGTGCTTGGAAATACAACTCCCCAGTGCAGAGAGGTTTCTGGCAATTTAGTGAAACTAAACTCAATTTCCATGGTTAGAAATTGCTGCAGGAGCATTTCATTGTGTTGCAGATGTTGTGCTCTGTATGCTTGTGTGTGTGTGTGTGTGTGTGTGTGTGTGCCTGCTTGCATGTATGTGTGTTGCTGCTTTACTGCTAACAGTTAGGGCAACTATGAAAGTTTGATTTGTGGACAGAAATGACAAATTTCTGTTAAATTATTGACACAGAAGGGAAAATACTTTTCTTCTTTGAAGTTAACCAAAACCAAATGGGATTGTTTCCCCAAGGGAAAAGTAGGAGTTTAGTTATGATACATCCCCTCCCAGAAATCTTTCAAATTATACATACTGTACCCTCTGTTTATATAAATATGAATTACATGATTGTGTGTACAGGGTCATTTGTAGTTCAAATGGAAATGCAATGCTGCTAGGCAGAGGCTATGGGGAGATCGAGGGGATTCTAGGATCTGCCATTTAACCCTTTTCAAACATGGTATGTTAAGTGGCCTTGAGTGTATCTGCAAGAAAGCTTTGGCCCAACGTGAAATGAAGTCACCCTAGTTTTGCTGGTAACTGCATTTCCATGCAGCTTTAAATGAAGAGAGAGGGGCCGGTCATTTCTCATTTACTTGTGTGCTCTGATTGTACATTGTTGTTGATGGTGACAACCAACAGTTTATGCTCTGCATTAAATTTGCTTATGTGTTCACATCCAGCTGTGAAGTTCAAATTTTGCAAGGGATGTTTTCCCACATGCAGGATAACAAATTTGTCAGATCGACCTAAGGGCTGTTTTTTTCCAATTTCTTTTTTGTTTCAGCTAACTTAATAATAGTTGGTTTAAATGTTGTTAAGCCATAAATAAATAGTCTTCTGAAATGTTTTTTCTCAGTTGTACCATCGTATTTCTGTATGTCGGTGGAAATACATATTTCTGGCTGGGTGTCTTTCTATCTTTGAGTTTATTGAAATTAATTTCTTCACAGGACATTCAGTTATATGTTCGCTCTTATTATCTATATCCCTAGACTTCACTTGCTACTGCCTTAGATCTCCTGCAAATTCTCTGAGGAAACAGAATTGATAAAAGTCCCCTAATCTAGTAGCTTTGGGCAGTCCAAATATCATGCATATAAAGTAGGAATGTCACGACTAGTGCCTTGTAGACAAAAAGTTTTGCTCCCCATCTATTCCCCCCTCAATTTCATCAGAGTTTTCCCAACAGCATTGCAAGCTTTGGGTAGTCTGCATCTTATTTAATCTCTGAAAATGCTTCCTCTATACAAAATTTCCCACTTAGTTGAACTTTTCCACTGCAAACGGGAAGTAATCATCACTGGGTATGTGTGGTGCCCCCTAAAGACTGTCAGGATGAGGCTAATGTATATGTTGTGTCTTCCTGAGACCGAGAGTTAGACTGAAGCTCTGGAAAACTGGTTGACATTTATTTGGAGATATTACTTAGCATGGGCAAAGAAGACATGGCATTCGGCAAGAGCTCCTGAACCAATTCTTCAGATGACCTCTTTTTGCAGTGTTGGTGGCAAGCAGGATGCAAGGTTTGTCTGTTGTGGTAAATAAAACACATAATTCACTCACTCCTTTGCTCTTGGAGTAGGCCTTTCCGCTGCATCTCCTGCAAAGATGATAGGAGACCTGTCCCTGCATCACAGAGGAATAAAGGGTGACTGTAGAGCCAAATGCTCCTGAAACCTGTACTTTCAGAGCTGGCAGTGGAAGGACTTCTGTCTTACCAAAGAAGCCTGGGACAAAGTAGCCTGTTACTGGCAGGCAGTTTGGGCAAGTAACTTTTTATAGTGTTCCTGACCTCTTCACTGCTGCATGTGCCATGATTGTTCTCCGTTCTTTATAAATCATTTTAGATGGTATCAAGGTACGTGTTTACATTTCCATTAGCAGTGAATTTGCCAGAGGCACATTCATAATGTTCTGTTAATAAAAAGCAGTGCAGGTGGATACAGTTTCAGAAAGCAAACGCTTGAATTAGATACACAGGTATCAGTATTGGATACACAGGTATCAGTATCTATTGACCCAACACTATATCTCTTCTGGTCTCACCTCAGGTAATGTTAGAGCCAGCAAGGTCAGTAGGCTTTTCCAGTTGAAATGGAAACAGGGCAGTTGTATTACCTGAAATTTGTAGCAGCTTTTCTCATTTGGAGATCACTCTTGGTTTTTTTGTCAGACAGAGCTGTGTAACTAATACAGAGGGTTTGCTTCCCTAAAGTTAGTTTTCCAGATGCTTTATTCATGTAATCCTAAGAATCTTAGTCTCGACATACTTCCACTGAGCAGAATAGCTGGGCTGTGTAAAGGTGTGCATGGATCATTGCAGACAGCATCACACTTCTGTTTTTCCCTCTTTTGCTAAAGGCAATAAGAAATCTGCTGCAGGCTTCGAAACCAGATAGAGGTTGCCTAAGAAAAGGTATAGACTAGGACTTTTAAAGTACTGCGCTGTTCGGAATATGAACTGTATTTTGTGACTCTTTACTCTCTGTCTGCAGCATCAAATAAGAAGCATGAGTATAAACTGGACATGAATAACTCTAGGCTGGAAATAAAAGGGTTCCGAATATCAGGGCTCTGGACTTCTGGAACAACTTTATAGTAGGAGTAATGGGGGCAAGAACAAACTGACTAAATACTTGAAAGATGAATCATGATAAATTAACGAACAGGACAGTATGAAATAAGTATGCCAGAAACATAAAACTTGGTGGGCTGGCCGTGGGACATAATCACGTGGGTTATTTCTTTACTAAGTAATCAGTGGTGCTCGGTGCTTGGCACTGTCCATTTATGCCTAGTTATTGCGGAGATATTGCAATGCGAAACTGGAGCACAATGGGAGAAAGCAAGCCAAGCCGTTAAGTGAGATGATATTCTATCAGTTATCGCTGTCTTTCCTTACCGTAGCAACAGGTTTATAGGGCTGTAATACCTAGCCAAGACCATAATGCAGAAAAGAACCTGATTATGTGATTTCAGTCAGTGTTGTCCAGCATTTTAGGCTGCCATCCTACTCCAAACTTCTTGTTTTATAATGACATCAAGCTCCTTCTGCAGCCCAGTATTCAGCCACCTCTAACACTCCCAGTTCAAACCCATCTTCTCCACATATGCTTGCACTCTGAGCTCAGCTAGAGTAGCCATGGTGGTGTTCAGCTTAAAAGTCCTCTGAAATCCAGTGTTCCTTCTTCCCTTTACCATTTCCCTGCAACTCTGCATAGCCTGCCTGGTTCCTTCCAGCTCCAGCCAGGCAAAAATGATCAGATTCTATTTGTCAGTAAGGAGATGGTAGGAAGAAGTAAGATGGGTTGGAAATAGAGAGAGAAAGATCCAGCCTTTTAGAAGTATGATCTGAGCATATTTCAAACATTTTCACATTTGTGCAGTAGCATGCTGAACCTTAACTCTCTCATCTCCTTCATTATTTAGCACTACAGCATTAATGGAATTTTTTTCTTAATGAGCCACAATAAAAGTAGTAACTACTTTTGGCTGGGTATTTGTCAACAGTAATTTAAATGTTGCTTTGTCTTTTGTCAGATTTGTACATTAATTCAAAGCTCAGTTCAGTTCTGGAGTGGATCAATGGAAAAGGCAATGAGAAAAACTTCAGTTCATGGACTTTCTTGTTCAGTTTACAAGTAAAAATATTGTTTTTTCTAGCTTCTAACCCCTAAAAATCTTACCCTGGGCTGGGAAAGTCAAAGAGGGTTCTCTCTGCTATCTACATGACAACCAGCAACGAAGTCCCTATTGTCCAGACTTCGGTTTGTGCAGCTGCATTGTCTAAAATATTTTCAGCTTGTGATGCTCTGATCTTAGGGCCTCCACAGACGGCTTCTAAGTTTCTGTGAAAACTAAGTACATTTGATAGTTGGCTTAAATTTACTTTCAGAGCTGCACTTCTGGAAAAAACAAACAAACAAACAAACAACAAACCAAACAAACTTTAGTAATCCTCAAATTTAAAAAAAAAAAAAAAAAAAAAAAAAAGTTTATCCTACAGTTACATGGATATTAACAGCCAAAAGACTAATGGCCTTTACACAGCTGTTACTGGGGAAAGATGTGGGGTTGTGTAGATGCACCAAGGATGTACTTGAGCATGCAGTTGTATTTAGCCTGTGTAGGGAATATTTTGTGTTGGAGAGAAGTACACATCTGTTAACTGCTTTAACCATCAATAAAATCCTTGTCATTGGGTGGATTACCTTTTCTCTCATGCAGATCTGATTAAACTGGAGTTGCTCTCATTCAGTTTTATTGCACAGACAGGTGTTTGGGATGTAGCAGACTAGAGCAGTCTCCAATAAGCTAAGCAAACTCTACTAATAAAAACATAAATTGATCAAAACAAATCCAGGATCAGCATGCACAGCTGTTCTGCAATGGCTGCAAACAAAATTACTGCAATGCACAAGCTTGCAAATACTTCAGGTCAGGCACAGTCCGAGGTCTTGGATGAAATCTTTGTATCCTCCATCCTATTTAGCCACTAAAGTATGTTTCTGTGGAATTAGGTTCTTCTATAAAAACAGTGTAGAAGTGTATATATGTGTGTATTTTTTTCAAAAATTTCAGTAGCATCTTCCTCATGAAAGTTTTCCTAAGAAGGGGTTGTTGAAAGAAGCAGGTATGCAGTGCTGCTGGATTTGAAGTATCTCTTCTAGCTGACCAATATGCTTTGGAGAAAAGGGCTCTTTGGAGTCCTCTGCGAAAGACACCATTGAAAATGTCTATAGAAAAGGCAAATGCTGGATATCTGAAAATCCTGTTAGATTCACAGTCTCTTCTGTGCACATGCACAGAGTTTATATAGGCAAAACGCTTATCTTATTGCAAATTGCATTCTTAAACCTACGGATGTCTGGTGTATGGGTACTCTAGGTTTGCAAACTTAAACTCACAAACCCATTTGAGAGTGACTTAATCTGTTGTGATTTGCCACTCTCACTTTTTCTTTTGTCAGCTTTTTTAGTTCCCAGACTTTTAAGGCAAGCTTGAAAAACAATAAACCTTGCAATGATAAGTGCAGAGAGGCTGAATTTGAATGGACCTTGAACATGTGCTGGCAATGTTAGCAAGGGACTTCATTAATATATAGTAATCCAAGATGACTGGAAGTTATAACCATTCTGAGCCATCAACAGGAAAGGAAAGAGACAATTTGCAGATGCTGTTGTGCTGGGTTTGGGAAGGGATGTGAGCAAAGGCTATAATTTGGTCTATTCTGCAATGGACTGAATGGATTCATAAGGAGGCTAAAAAGGCCAAATGTACTAAAAGTGAAAGAAAGGAGTATCATTTATTAGGTCGGTTAAATACTCTAAGTAATTATTTGAATATAGTGATAAAAGTGTATTTTCAAGTTTGTATTTTGAACATACCAATTTGCAATGGCAATGAGTAAAAAGAAACCTTTTTAAAAATACTAAACCACCTGTTGCATGGAGTTATACTCATATACATGGGATTTTCCAAAGTTCTTACTGATTCCTGTTTAAATTGATGGGAACTCCTAATGTGAGGCACTAGAATAATTTCCAAAATCACAGCATGTTTGGTCCTTAACTATGTTTAAGAATCCAGCCTAAATGACTGAACTAATACTATTTCACCCACTTACTACCTGAAGGGAATAACTTATAACATTCCTTTGGATTTTATGTTTATGGCTCATATTCACAGGGATTGCAGTCACTATACAGGTGTCAGAGGCTACCAGGACAGGTATCCTGGTGAAGAAGCAGTGATGTACTCAGGGTGATTTGGCCACAGGGTCAAAGGGAGGAGAGTTAGAAGGTGCTGGCCTCCCACACATGAAGGATGGGGACTTCTGGGTCCAATCCCCAACAGACAGGGGAGGGAAAACCCCAGACAGCCCAAAACAGAACCAGCAAGGCTTTTGGGTAAGGGGCAGTAGCGGGGAGAAATTGTGGAAGAAGTTCTTCAGGGCTGTTTGTGAGGATAGGCTGTGATTTCAGTAGCTGGTTTTGTTGAACCAGCTCTGATAGCTCCCAGTGCATCTCTGGCAATACCCACACTCAATTTTTCCTCATGCTCTGGTTCCTCTAGCTCTTGCATTTATTGTGTCATTATTCTTCTGCAACTCTTCCCATTCTCTCTACCCTGGAAAAGATTCAAAAGCTTTTGTAAAGCAAACAGTTCACTTACAGTACTACCAGAACGAAGGATGTTTCATTTATACAGTTACTGTTAACTAAAAGCATACCTAGCAATTGTAACTACAGCTAACAAATATTCTTAAACTTAAATTCTGTCGCTTTTTCGAGCAAAAATGGTTTGTGCACAGACAATGAAAATGGAAATTAAAAATATTAAATGTGTTTAATTAGAGTTATGGCACAAAGGACTACACCAGTTTATCTGCAACTAAAGCTGAAGATAACTTTCCATTTCAGTAAAAAAAGGAAGCAAACCATTTGTCCCAGTGTTTTCCATACTGCACCATTTGTAGACAGAGATATCTTGGAAATCCTGTGAAAGCAGAGTGCTTAAAAGCTTATTATTAAAGTATTTTCTCTTGTGGTCCTTGTGGGAAATATGTTATGGAGGTGAGGAGTTGTACAATTATGGAGCCTTAGGTAGGATTTGCAGAAGCAAAGGAAAGTTTGAGGAACAGAGTGGTGGAAAGAGGTAGGCTTCAAGGAAGAGGGTGGAAAGTCTCAGTCATGCAGACTTGTGCAGCCTCCTATACTGGCAACAATACTCAGTCCTGTTTGCTCTGTCATTTTGAGTAGTAAAGCTCGTGTCATTTTCAGAAGAGGCCTGGGATGAAAGACAAGTAGCTATACAACAACTGCTGGAAATTATTTGGGAGCAGGAAAGTGGTGGACCTCTGTCTCTTCATTTCCTGACTGTTCTTTGGAGAGTGGTGTGTTCATGGCTTGTGCCTGTCCTTGACTGTCCCACCGAGCCACGTGTCCTGAGCTCACTCCGTCACCCTTGGAGGTGTGCTCACCAACAAGTGGACAAAACTACCTAATAACTATCAGAAGAGTTAACAGCTTCTTACCAAACACATATTTATTTGTATCTCATTGGGCAAAGGAAACTTTGTATAGAGTCTACACCATTTTGAGACATTTTAAGAAAAAGATACTTGCTTAAGAGCAAGAATGGGAGAACTGTAGGCTGTCTCTTATGGAAATCCCCCTGATGTTTGGGAAGTCCTTTGGTGGGAGATAAAGGGAAGTTTTGATTAGTTATTGTTACTACTGTTTGCTTAGTGTATGTTAGCTTAATTTTCTTTAATTCATGCACAGCTTGAACTAAAAAAAGCAACCTTTCTGAAGAGTTGTCATGTTGCAACTGTACTTCATAGCACAAAGAGTGCTCTCACTTAAGCAGCCGAAGATTTTACTGATGACATTGTACCACAGTCAACATACAGGCCTCTATGTAAAGGAAGTAGTTGATCAAGGATATATCTAATTATTCATTTGTTAGCAGCTTACTTTGTTCTAATACTTTCTTGGATCTGAGTTATGGTTATGGTCAAATATTGAAGATGATGACGACTGTAGGGTGCCTGGGAATACAAAGCACTTTCACCACACTGGCTTCAGTATGTTGCCATGTTACAATTATTATAGTTTATTCATTGTCACTAACCTGTTTAAATAATTGAGAACAAAGTGGTGCGGTTATATAAAACTTTGTGCAAGAAAACACAACTCTCAAGATCTCTTTCAAGTGCTGGTGTTGTCATCTGCAGTCTCCTTTGATCCCAGCCACATATCCGCATAGTAGCTCTGAGGATCTGTGAACCATTTCTCCCTTTCTCCCTGTTTCAGATTGTGGCTGATGCTTATTAGAACAGTTCAGAGTGCCTCTTTGAAGAAAACATGGTGGTGACAGTGGCTGATCAAAACCCAAACGCTCAGAAACCTTGGGGGGAGGAAATCCACATGCCAGAATCCTGTCACAGCTTGAATCTGTTAAATAGGTTAATGTTTAGGGCACTGGTTGAGAATCAGAGAAACAGGATTCAGCTCTCAGCTTTCCATCTAACCATGGAAGGACTGTTTCATTTTCCCTGTTCCTTAGTTCTCCAGGTGAAAATGGCTCTTTCTCATGGAGGCATCATTAAGTGTTGGGACAGCTATGCAGTCTGATGATGGTAGGAGCTCAGATGGGTGCAATTGGAGACGTCAGGTGGGGATGTCTCTCTGGTGCATGAGTGATTCAGCCCCAAATGATGCCTATTGGTAGGACTGGATGGTTGTGTGTTTGCTGCTTGTAATTCCTGAGAGTTACTTCAGTGTCGGAGCAAAGACTGTGGTAACTTACCAAGTCACAGAGCAGCCACATAGCAGACAACCACTGACCCTTCGGAGTTATTTCCAGCAACATCAGCTCATCTCAGCATGTAATTATAATACAGCCCTGATCTGGAGATCTGTTATTGGAAAGCAGGTCTTAGTCCACAGATTATAGAGATTCCCAGTAGGTCTCTGTTTTTTGCTTCTGACAAGGTAAAGAGAATGTGACGTGGAAACTCCTACTCCTCCTGCAGCATTGGCCCAATGATTTACTAATTTACAGCTTCTGTTAAAAGTTGTTGATGGCATCAAGCCTACCAAAACGTGTTTCAGGGCATAATATGGACCAATGATGATGTATTTTTAGTGCTGGAATCCTGTGAAGGAATGGGCACTGTCTTGAGTCTAGAAATCCAGGCTGAGTTCATACTACCGACAAATGACTTGGAAATTACTATCAGATACTACTAGTGGGAGGAAAGCACAGAAGTCAACACTCATTTCCAGGATTGTTTCTATAAAATGAACCTATAATTGACATTATACATAACTTTGCCTCTTCAAATGTGAAACTGAAGGGCAAATACTAAAAAAGATTTCTAATGATAGTGCTCAGTTGTGCAGTGTTCCTGGCATAAACCTAATTCAAAGAAAGAGTCTATAATATCTGTACGATTTTATTCTTGGAAAGGGTTCCTCCAATTGCCAGTGGCGTTGTCTGACTGCCCAAATGAAGTGATCCCCCAGGAACTTTGGATCTCAGTCTAGGCAACCAGCCTGGAGTCCTCACCTTGCCAAGCAGTGCTCCCCATGGCCAAGGTTACTGCTGAATGAAGCCAAGGTCGCTGCTGAATGACCTGCATAAGGAAATAAATGGGATTTCATGTGAACCCTTTGACGGTGCCACCTTTAGGGCTGCTCTATGGAGACTAGGCTATGCAAAAATATTGATGTACATGATAAAAATAACTTGTCATTTCTAATTTTAGGGAAGGGATTGAACACTTGTTTGCGGAGTCCAGCCTCGTAGCATGTTGAATCCAAAACTGTGGCCTCTTGGCCCTTTTGTGATGCAAATAATAATTTAAAATATACATCTGGCACAGTGCAAAGAGAGAACATCCAACATCTGTCACATTCCATTATCTTGCCTTGCTGCTATTAGTCTATTATTAGTATTTAAACTAAATATATCTTCCCGCAGGCTGCTAACCATAATACCTCATTCAAATACCCGTTCCTTTTATTGCCACAAACTGTTCTGAACATCACATAAATGAAACTGGAACATCACTTGATGGACTGTTATCATATTTTATTGCTTTATTTTATTTTAAATGGGAGGAAACAAAACTTGCCAAGTGTTGTCATATGGTTTGAAGAAAATGAAATAGATTTCCCTATCGTTTTGGGCGAGGGAAGTGAACAGAGGCTTTTCTAATGGAGATCAGCTGCAGGCATTTGTTTCCACACTGATGAGGGCCCATATGCTGTCACTGGTGTATCGGTTTTGTCTTGGGGCTGTAAGACTCTGGAATGGCAGGTTATTTTTTTTTTTTTTTAACTGTCTTTTATAATTAATTATCTGCCTTCTCTATCTCTTCAAAGCTGAGT